CCGCCCACCCGACCGGCGTCTTCGGCGGTGGCGATATATCCCGCCCCAGCCTTATCTGTTACAGAGCCGATGTTAGATGTTATGTCCCGCCCGCCCGACTGAATGCCCAATCCCTGGGTGAAGGTTTCATGTCATGTCCCGCCCGCTCGACTGGCATCTTCGGCGGTTGCGATATATGTTCATCAAGCCGCGTCCAATCACATGGTGAAAGTTACGTTCAATGTCCCGCCCGCCCGCCCGACCGATCTCCCTGAAATGCAATTTCTGAGTGGCGGTTGCATTGCATATCCCGCGCGCCCGACCGGCGTTGTCGGCCGTTGTAATATCGTTTCCTCCGACCTTGGCCCATCATGAAAGCTACATTTAATTTCCCGCCCGCCCGACCAGACGCCCCATCCCTGAGTGAAGGTGTCGTTCAATGTCCCGCCCGCCCGACCGGCGTCTTCGGCGGCTGCGAGATATGTCACTAAAGTTTTGCCCATGACAAAGGGAAGGCTACATTGGATGTCCCGCCCGCCCGCCCGACTGAACTCCCCATTGCTGAGTGACGGTTGCATTTCATGCACCGTCCGCCCGATCCGCGCATTCGGCGGTTGCAACATAGTTTCCCCCTACCGTGGCCCATCACATATTGAAGCTTAGATTCAATGTCCCGCCAGCCGCACTGAACGCCCCATCCCTGAGTGAAGGTTCACGGCCTTACGGCCGGTGCCGCCGACCCTGAACGACGACGACGACGACGACCCAGGCCCTGGGACCGTCAAGAGACGGCTTGACGACCCAAGCCCCGGAGGCAGCAGGGAGGAGTAGGAGGCGGAGGAGAAGGAGGAGGAGGAGGAAGAGGAGGAGGAGGAGGAGGATTAGGAGTAGGAGTAGGAGGAGGAAGAGGAGAAGGAGGAGGAGGAGGAAGAGGAGGAGGAGGAAGAGGAATTGGAGGAAGAAATCCCGGACACCCCGGACGCACCCCGGACACCCCGGACAACCCGGACACCCCAAACACGCCGGACACCCCGGACACCCCGGACACGCCGGACACGCCGGACACCCCGGACACCCCGGACACCCTGGACACCCCTGACACCCCGGACACCCCGGACACCCCAGACACCCCGGACACCCCGGACACCCCGGACACCCCGGACCCGGCCGGACACCCCGGACACCCTGGACACTCTGGACACGCCCCCCGGACACTCACCCCGGACACGCCGGACACCCCGGACACCCCGGACACCCCGGACACCCCGGACACCCCGGACACCCCGGACACCCCGGACACCCCAGACACGCCGGACACGCCGGACACGCCGGACACCCCGGACACCCCGGACACCCCGGACACGTCCCCCGGACACCCTGGACATCCCAGACACCGGACCCACAGAGGACTATAGTCGCTCGCTGCACGAGAGGGCGGAGGTACAGCTTGCCGAAGGACACCCCACGCGCCGACCCCGCCACGACGAAGCGGGTCGCCTCCACCTGCATGGAGTACCCGCGGTGGCTGTCCTCCAGGTAGCGCGGAGCCAAGAACAGCTGAACCCCCAGGGCCACCACCACAGAGGGGCACATCAGCCGCTCAGCGATGGCCATCAGCTTGACCAGGGACACCGCGTCGCAGAAGGTCTCCACGTCCAGCAGGAGGGCAGCGGCCGCCACCTCTGGCTCGATGACCGTCTCGTCACGGAGGCTGCGCACCAGCGCAGCTCGCACAGCAGGGCCCCAGAACGCGCCCAGCTCCAGTCGAAACCGACGTGACCGACGAGCGCGCGCGGGACCAGATCTTCGGCACCAGCGGCAGGAGGCCGATGATGATGCGCTCGCCACCTGCATTCTTGGGAAGCGCACCCCGACGACTCCCAGCAGCTGCCGTGGCCAGCAAAACTTCTCCTCGCAGCACGCCAGCAGGGACCAGAGCTCCTCGCGGCCCTCGAGCGGCACAGCCTCTCGAGGTCATTCGAGCCGAGGCCGTCGACGCCCCTCGCCTTCCTGGAGCCCTGCACCCGAGCGGCCAGGTCGATGCTGCTGCACTCGAGCGGCCTCAGCGGGGACCCCCTGGCCCGACGCTTGGCCCCCTGGCGGGCCGCCACGAGGTCATACCAGGAGTCCGAGGGAGCGCGCAACATGCCGCCCCGGCAAACGGCCTTCTGGCTCATCACCTGGCTCGGCACCGCCACGAGCACGCCGTTACCCACCAGCTCCTGCGCCATGGGCGCGGGATCACGCACCCACCCGCAAAGGCGCCAGGCTTCCCCCTCCACATCTGGCGCGCCCACGACGCAAACCCGCGGCGGCGCTGGCCCACGGCGCGCGCCTGCGCGGCAGAGGCGAAGCGCTCCGTCACAGCCACCGCGACGCCCAGCTCCTCGGCGGGGACCACCAGGGCGACATTGACCATGAGATCCCACGCAGGCGGAACTTCAGGCCCTGCAGATCGAGGGAAGTGGCCAGCCGCGTCCATCATGATGTTAACCGACTCACGCAGCAGCACCTCCAGGGAACGGTCCAGCTGGCCCCTGCCGACCGCGCCCTTCCCACGGACGCGCGCAATCTGCCTCGGCACTGCCAGCGCCACCGCCAAGCGCTCAGCCGCCCAGCGTCGCAGACGCGCGCGACCGGGCGATAGCTCGAGCGGGGGCCAGGAAGTCGCAACCAGCAGCGCGACCACGATATCGGCTACGCTCACCGACGGGCGCCTCGCTGGCACCCAGGAGCGCCTCCTCGGCCTTGGAGACCCAGCTGGCATAGCTCCCGCTGATGGCGGACTCATCGTCGCCTGCAACGCACACCAGGCGACGCGCACTCAGCCGCTCCACGGCCACGTTCCAGACGTCAGTCCGCGCGGGGTCCGACCTCGAAGAACGACAAGCCTCGGACGGCACAAAGCATCCAGTCGACACCCCCCAGGCTGCCTCCTTGGGCGGCCTCTTCGCCGCCAAGGACATCAGGTCGCGCGCTGCAGGGTCGAACATACTGGAGGTCGGCGCTGACTCCTGTCGCTCGATGTCGCAATTTAACACGGGCCGCGGACAACTGCCAGACCCATGACTTGCGCCCGGGGGGGCAGCCTGCGACCCCCCCAGGCAGCGCCCGCAGCCCGCGCCCGCGCTGGCGCCAGCGGCCCGCGGCTCCGCCTCGGCATGGCGAGGCTGACTGAGAGCGCGCGCGAGGCCCATCGGGCGCCCTCGTCCACGGCGAAGAAGTCCTCGCCAGGCCCGCGGCCCCCCCGTAGCCCCCCACGCCGCCGCGGCACGAGCGCCACCCCCAGCACGCGCGTCCACCTCGGCGCCCGCACTGAGCCCCCCGAAGCGCACGTCGCGGTCGGTGCGCCGGGCCTGGGCGCCAACCTCCAAGCTGGAGGAAGACACCGTCATCTCGCGTCGGTCGCCGCCGCAATTCATCGCGGGCTGCGGCCAACTGTCCGACCCAAGACATGGCCTTGGGGGGGGGGCGCCCCGCGGCACAGCCCAGGCCAAGCCAGCTGCCAGCGCCAGCAGCCTCCTGCCCGGTCACGGCGAGGCCCAGAAACTCGGCGCCCGCGGCGCCGCCCAGCACGCCCCCGCCGAAGAAATCCACGCCGGGGGCGCAGTCGCCCAGCACCGCCGCATCGCGGGCCTCAGCCTCCAAGCGAACGGCCAGCAGCGCAGCGCCCAACTCAGACTGCAACGCCGCGAAGTCGGCCTGCAGGTGCGCCGCGGGCGCGTCGCGGCGCCGAGGCGCGCCGCTTGCTGGCCTTCGACTCTGGGGCGGGCTGCTGACCGGGCCCCGGCGGCGTCGGGATCGCCAGCGGGGCGACCAGCCGCCGACGCGCCCATCGACGCCCACCTCTGGCCACGCGCAGCCGCGGCCCCTCACGCACCTACTAAGCCACGCCCAGAACAGTCTCCAGCTCGACTGGGTCGCCCGCGCCGCGCGAGGGCAGGCCGCAGTCGATGGCCCGCCGCAGCCCCCGAAGCAGGCGGCCTCCGCGTCGGGGGGGGGCAGCAGCCCACCCGGCACCTCCCGCGGGAACCACGCGCGCATGAGCTCCGCAGGCGCGGCATCCCAGTCGGCCAGCACGACCCGCGGATCCGCCGGGCTTGCGAGGAAAGCGGCCAACGAATGGAACCCGCGTCGGCCGGCTCCGCCCACGCCGCAGTCAGGGGAAACATTGCCGCCACAACCACGCGATTGCCTTACTTGAGGCGCAGCGCCAGCGGCGCGAACCCGTCGAGACTCGCCTCTGGAGGCCTCCCTGGGCGGCAGCTGCCAAGCGCTAAAAGGGAAGTCGCCATATCGCACCTGACCGCGATCAGCCCACCCGCTCTCGCGCCCGCGCCCAACTTCGCCGAGCCCCCCGCAGCTGCGCCAGATGCCCGCCGGCCCAAATGCTTCACATCGCCGAGATGAATCTAAAAAGCTGCCATCACACCGCAATCGTCGAAATGCCCCCCACGCGCATCTCCGACTGGGTCCCCCCGCGCCCCACGCTGGCAAGGAGCACAAAGGGCCCCTCGGGCCCGAGACGGGGAGGCCCTCGGGCCGTCACCTCCTGGGACAGCGGCTCCGACGCCAACGCCGCCCCCCCCCCCTGGGGCCTGCGCCACGCGCAGGTTAAATAGCAGCAGGCCCAGCAGAACCAGCTCAGCACGGCCCTTGGTGGCCTTCTCGCGCGCGGACCCGACGCGCGCGAGGTGCTGGGTCGTGCGTTCGGGGGGCGGCTCGGGAACGGGCGCCTCCGCAGCGGGGCCGTCGGCGCCCTCGGAGCCCACGCCCGCGTCAGCGCCCGCGCCGTCGGCCTCAGTGGCCACGGGATTGGGCGGCACAGGCGACTCGGCCGCGCCCAGGCTGGCTGCCGCCGCAGCCGCCGCGCCTGCAGGCGCCGCCTCGGCATCTCCGCCTACCGCCGCGCCTTCAGCCGACCTCCTCTTCTTGGCGGCCTGCCTGAACTTTGCTATGGCCTAGGCGCCCTGCTGCATGCGGGAGAGCCGCGCCGCCTCCATTCCCTGGATGCGAGTAACCTCCTTCTGGGCCTGGATCAACTTGGCCCCCTCCTCCAGCCGCGCCCTCTCGCGCAGCTCGGCCCGCTCCGCGAGCGCGATGTAGACCGTCCCCCGCTCCTCCAGCCACATGCGCCTGGCGGACTGGAGCGCCTCCACGGCAGCCATGTAGTCCTCGTCGACATCGCCCATGTCAGCGAAGAGAGACGGACCCAGGTTGAAGGCGAGGCGCTCGGGCAGTACGTGCGTGGACGAGCCGTCCTTGCCCGCCACAGGCGCGACCGCCGCCTCGTGCTCCATCGTGGCCTGGAGATGCTCCTCCGCGAAGGCTTCGAGGCGCCCCTGCACCTCCTGGGTCCTGTACTTCGCCGTCGCCGATTCCCAGCAGCAGCGCTCGACTTTCTTGCCAACCTGCTCCTGCTTGAAAGAGGCCGCTTTGAGCCGCTCTGCTGCCGCCAGCGACGGGGCCTTGGCAACAAACGTCGGCGGGGGGGGGCGGCTGGCGGGCCTGGCCCAGCGCCTTGTCATTACCGACCAACTTCTGGATGCTCGAAGCCACCTGCTCCTGCGACGACCACCATGGCGACGCGGACGACTGCTGCAAGCAGCGGCCAGGCAGGCCGACACAGCTGCCGCACTTGCGGTAGCCCTTCCGCTTCCAGAAGCGATCGTTCCAGTCCCAGTACCCGCAGGCGCCGCACACCATGTAGCCGCCGCTGCCATGCGACCTGGCCATGGGTGCCGCTCCTGTAGGAGCTCACGACAAGGGTGCCGAGAGCAAGCTCTCTGATTGCCGCGGACTAGCGGCATCCGTGTATGATGGAGGCATCCTGCGCCACGATGCTCTTGAGCCAATATAGTTATAGGGAAGAAGAAGAAGAAAAAGAAGAAGAAGAAGAAGAAGAAAGAGGAGAAACACGAGGAGGATGAGGAGGAGGAGGAGGAGGAGGAGGAGGGAGGAGGGGGGAGGAGAAGAGGACGGGGCGACCACGGTTCTCCATTCAAAACGCGAGAACCCAAGCAGGGGAGGGCTGGACCAAGTACATGAACATAATACTTCGGAAATCCATGCGGGTTTCTTGGGTCAGCGGTGAACCCTCTCCCCGCAACCCTTCCCGGCGCGCGGGGCGCGCCGAAGGGGGCGCGGTGCGGAGAAGGGGTCCAAAAGCGGGCTTCGAAGCCAACGCGTTAGTTGCTACAGCCGTGGTTAAGGGGATCGGGTTCGGGTGAGGCGTACACGTTTGAATACAAAAACTACATGCGTGAAGCCATCGATGTGCCCCGTTGTTGTCCCCTCCGCCCCCGCGTTCTCCTACTGCCAATGATTGGGGAGGGGAAAAGTGAGGGGGCGGGGCAAGGGCGAAGAGAGGAAAGGAGGGAGCAGGGAGGAAGGAGAAGGGGATGAGGCTGAAAGAGGAAAAAGAGGACGAGGATGATGAGAAAGGGGGAGGAATGCGTGACCAGGGACAACTTAGGTGTTCCTCCCCTTCCTCTTCGTCTTCATCTGCATCTCCTCCACAAGCTCCTCATAATCGCCCACAAGGTGGCTCTCGCGCGGCTACGTCTGGGCTCCGCCGTGCAGCTCTGATCCGCAGAACGGGCTCAGGACCCAGGGAGGCGGTGTCCAGCGAGCTCCTGCCTTGAGGACGTAGGCGCTGGTCTCTGACACCGCGTGAATGCTCCCATCTTGAGCGGAAGTGTCCAGAGCCTGTCGCCCTTGTGGGCCCCCCGTGGTCCGAGATCGGCCCCCCGGGAGCGCTCCGTCCTGAGAGCCCGCGGCACCGCCGCCGCCGCGTCGACGCGGCGCGAACCTGCCGCACGATCGAGAAGCGCGGCCGCCGCAGGAGCGCGGATGTCCAGAAGCACGAGCCGAGGTGGACAGCCCAGGCATGCCAGGCAGCCCCCAGAGCCAGGGCTGGGCATCACACCCTCGTGCCAGCTGCACTCACGCCCCCCTCCCCCCCCCCTCCCCCCTCACACCGGCTGCCAGGCTGGCTCTCCTGCGCGAGAGCGCCGAAGAAGCCGGGGCGAGGCGCGCGCAGGCGGCCCCCCGCCCTTCCTTGTCCTTCAGCGCGCCGACGGCATCCTCCTTCGGAATCTGCTGGTCCTGCAGGACGGCCACCTGGGCGGCGGGAAAAAAACAGCAATCCTCTGAGGGGTCGAGAGGCATGCGCTGGGACGGCTTCGTGGGAACGGACGAGGGCTGCTGAGCCCGATCGGGAAGCCAACGAGCTGGATCAGGCCAGATGCGTCCCGGGACTCAGCAGTGTCGAGCGGGATTCGAAGAGGAGAGAGCAGCTTTCCACCGCGGATCTACCAGCGCCAATGGTGGATTCAACAACCCTGGAGTTGCAGGCGAGCGAGAGGTCTGCAAGGGAGCCACAGGCGCCCATCCGCCCTGTGAAACTCTTCGCGCGGCCAGCGCGCGGGGGGCAACATCCCATCAGCTTCTCGGACTGGCGCTGGACCCCCCCCCACGGCGCGCGGAGAGCGCCAGAGGCGCTGCCAGGAAAGGGGGGGGGGGAATTCCGGCGCCGACCCCAGAAATCCGCGGGGACCAATGTTGATGTGTATGCTGTTCTCTCAGCTTCGGGAACGGAAGAGGAGGAGGAGGAGGAGGAGGAGGAGGAGGAGGAAGAGGAGAGGGAGGAGGAGGAGGAGGAGGAGGACGAGGAGGAGGACGAGGACGAGGACGACGACGACGACGAGGCATCGAGCCCAAAACGCGCGCGCTTGTTGGGCCAGCTGGAATGGGTGCGGCACTCGGCTCCCCCGCAGGCAGCAGAGTTCCCGCCACATCCGCCACCGCATGGGAGAGGACCTCCTGGCTTCCCAGCTGACGGGAAAGGGCCTCCACAGCACTCATTCGGCCGTGCCGACCCAGGCGAGAGGGCGCAGGCAGGACTGAGTAGCGCCAAGGGAGGAGGAGGAGAAGACAAGACAAGACAAGAGAAGACCAGACAAGGCCAGATCAGACCAGACAAGGCAAGACCAGACAGGACAAGACAAGACACGAAAATATGAAACATGACAAGGCATGTCAAGCCAAGTCAAGACAAGACAAGTCAAGACATGACAAGACAAGACATTGCACTGGAGCTCCGATTCGGTAAACCGCGTGGATGTCCACAAAAAACTCTGCGCGCTGCTTCGGCTGCCGAGACTGGATCGCAAACGCACGCGGCCTGTCGGGAGCCACCCGCGCACCCCAATACTGGGCGCCCCACCCCATTGTAGGCGCGCCGCCTGGGGGGGGGCCAGCCTCAGAGACCAACGTCGACACTCCGCCCCCTCTCGGACAAACCGCACGTGAGGTCCAGCGCCGACCCCAGAAATCCGCGGGGACCTCCCAAAGTTGATGTGAATGCCGTCCTTTCTGCTTCGAGGAGGAGGAGGAGGAGGAGGAGGAGGAGGAGGAGGAGGAGGAGGAAGAGGAGGAGGAGGAAGGAGGAGGGAGGACGAGGAGGAAGAGGAGGAGAAGAGGAGGAGGAGGAGGAGGAGGAGGAGGAGGAAGAGGAGGAGGATGAGGAGGAGGAGGGAGGACGAGGCGACGGAGGAGGAAGAGGAGGAGGAAGAGAAATAGGAGGAGGAGGAGGAAATTGTTCTCCCGGAATCCCGACGTCTGGGCGAGGCAGCGCGGAAAAAGCAGGAGAACAGCAGCGCGCACCGCTCGAAGCGCGTGCCGCCGGGGAGCGAGCCTCTCCGGTTTGTGCCCCCCGGCGGCGCGCACACGGGGGGGGAGACGCGCGGGGGGCGGTTTCTCCTCAAAGCCGGCAGGGCGTCTGAGAAGGCCCAGCGTTAGGTCGGGCATGTCCTCCGAATGTCAGCTTGTGATTAACAATTCCGCGGGGTGCGCGTGTATAAACAAATTGTTCCAAGTCCCCTGCTCGGGCGAATCGCGGGGTGGCGCCCGCCAGATTGAAAATCAACGGGGCGGCGCCGGTGATTAGCGCCGACGCCCGGCCGCCAAGGAGGTGCAAGGGGGGCGTTTGGAGGCAAGGGCGAGCCAGGGCGCTCCTGTTTGTGTCGAACCGATGCGGGCCTGCGGGCAAGGCGAGCTGGACGAAAGCTGGGCGCAGCAAAGGGGGAATTGCCAAGCAGCTCAACTCGCCGATTTTCCAGCCGCCTCCTGGCGCCGAAAGCGGCCATGCGTCGAGGACTGGCCCTTCGGCGGGGCGACCGAAACCAGCTGCGCGCAGCAGGCTTTGCAACCCCCCCTTTCCTTCCCCAGCCTTTCGTCCGACCCGAACAAAGCGGGTAGTCCTGCTCGCCCCCTCTGTCGCCGTCGTCGCCACCGTCCCCCCACCCTGCGCCCGTTTCCGGCGGCCGCTCTCTTCGTCGACGACGACGACGACGACGACGACGACGACGACGACGACGACGACGACGACGACGACGGGACGAGAACGAAAACGAAGACGACGGACGGCGGACAAGACAAGACAAGACAAGAGAAGGCCAGACAAGGCCAGACCAGACCCAAGGCACGTCAAGCCAAGTCAAGACAAGACAAGTCAAGACATGACAAGACAAGACATTGCACTGGAGCTCCGATTCGGCAAACCGCGTGGAGTCCACAAAAAACTCTGCGCGCTGCTTCGGCTGCCTAGACTGGATCGCAAACGCACGCGGCCTGTCGGGAGCCACCCGCGCAGCCCAATACTGGGCGCCCCACCCCATTGTAGGCGCGCCGCCTGGGGGGGTGCCCAGCCTCAGAGACCAACGTCGACACTCCGCCCCCTCTCGGACAAACCGCACGTGAGGTCCAGCGCCGACCCCAGAAATCCGCGGGGACCTCCCGAAGTTGATGTGAATGCCGTCCTTTCTGCTTCGAGGACGGAGGAGGAGGAGGGTGAGGAGGAAGAGGAGGAGGAGGAGGAGGAGGAGGAAGAGGAGGAGGAGGAAGGAGGAGGGAGGACGAGGAGGAAGAGGAGGAGAAGAGGAGGAGGAGGAGGAGGAGGAGGAGGAGGAAGAGGAGGAGGATGAGGAGGAGGAGGGAGGACGAGGCGACGGAGGAGGAAGAGGAGGAGGAAGAGAAATAGGAGGAGGAGGAGGAAATTGTTTTCCCGGAATCCCGACGTCTGGGCGAGGCAGCGCGGAAAAAGCAGGAGAACAGCAGCGCGCACCGCTCGAAGCGCGTGCCGCCGGGGAGCGAGCCTCTCCGGTTTGTGCCCCCCGGCGGCGCGCACACGGGGGGGGAGACGCGCGGGGGGCGGTTTCTCCTCAAAGCCGGCAGGGCGTCTGAGAAGGCCCAGCGTTAGGTCGGGCATGTCCTCCGAATGTCAGCTTGTGATTAACAATTCCGCGGGGTGCGCGTGTATAAACAAATTGTTCCAAGTCCCCTGCTCGGGCGAATCGCGGGGTGGCGCCCGCCAGATTGAAAATCAACGGGGCGGCGCCGGTGATTAGCGCCGACGCCCGGCCGCCAAGGAGGTGCAAGGGGGGCGTTTGGAGGCAAGGGCGAGCCAGGGCGCTCCTGTTTGTGTCGAACCGATGCGGGCCTGCGGGCAAGGCGAGCTGGACGAAAGCTGGGCGCAGCAAAGGGGGAATTGCCAAGCAGCTCAACTCGCCGATTTTCCAGCCGCCTCCTGGCGCCGAAAGCGGCCATGCGTCGAGGACTGGCCCTTCGGCGGGGCGACCGAAACCAGCTGCGCGCAGCAGGCTTTGCAACCCCCCCTTTCCTTCCCCAGCCTTTC